AAACTGCCCACTGAGTGCCATGCACATCATGGGTTGTAATGGTCAATCACAGCTTGGCAGACAGGATGTTTTCCATTCTTCCATGAACATGATGGTTGGTCGGAGATAAACTCCCTCCACTCCACACTCCCAGGAGCAACAAATAACTAATGCACACACAGTCATAGGCGCTCACACACACACACACACACAAGCCTGATGCTCCACTGGGAGCTGGTACTGACCTGTAGCTTCGTCTCTGTGCTGCTAATCAGAGAGGAAATTGCTCGTGGTGGGGCCGATAATGGAAATCAGAAGTCAGATGAAACGACAATAGCAGACTTGTCTAGACAAGTTTTTTTTTCACCTTGTATTTTTTTGGAGAATATTATTTATGTTTTATTTTACTTCCTCCAGTCCAAATCCTGCATAAAATTATTCCACAATAGCAAAAAGAGAGAAAGTTCTAATTGTGGTTTTCTTTGAGTCGAACAATCAGCTTTACAAATTTTACAGTTCATTTCCTTATAACGTAAACTCCTTAGGAAAATTTTTAAATAACAATTAGCTTTTTTCTTTGCTTAGCTTTCCCAAATGTAACATTTTCTTAAATTTTAATTGCTCATTTATTATTTGTAGTATTAAAATTTACAGTTTCATAAACACATCAGTTTTTAAACTATTGACAAAATATTCTATAAATTTCCCAGCATCATTTTAAATATAATTTCAGTTTAATGTGTGTGTGAGTGTTTATGGTGTCAGAATTGACATGCAGACAAAATACAAGATATAATTTCCTGCAGATGAAACAGCGCTTTTTACACTTAAAGAACATTCACATTCAGGAATCCAAATAGGAAAGATGAGATGAAAAAAACAAACAAAACAACTTTAAATCCTACTTCAACAAGTGTGTGTAGATATATATATCTATATCTACACAGTCTGCATTTGTTTGGCTGCAGATAAATGCACTTGTTATTACACTAGAAGCCTGACTTCAGCATGAAATGACCAGATGTAAATGTGACCGGAACATGCAGTTAAAAGTCAGAGTGGAGTGATGCTGTCTTTAATCCAAGGCAGGCTTAGGTAGTCTTACAGGAGGACGAGGAGGAGGAAGAGCAGATAAGATGGTCGCTCTTATTTCTGCAGAGCACAATGTTTATCTATAAAAAGATAGTGTGTGTGTGTGTGTATGTGTGTACAGAGGAGGGGAGGGTAAGGTTGCTTCCCGTTGGCTTCATTAGAAAGAGCCCTAATTATCTGTGGAGCTGATGGATTTGTGACAGGCCCTAACGATTAATGCTGACAAATTCAGTAGGGTGTCAAGTCCGCAGCTGCCTTGATGTAATCAAGTTGATATTATACAGTTCCCATAGCCCCTAGTGCAGCACCAACTCAATTTGCCTGTGCAGGTGACAAATGGACTTTGCTACCTGACTAATCACGTCAGGAGACAATGCCAGCTAATGACCTCAGTAAGCCCCCGCCACCCCCACCGCCACCACTCTTATGCCCTTCCAATAAGCAAACCAGATCGACTACAGCACATCGCAACCTTCTCCTCTGTTCTCTTTGTATTTTCTATCATCAAATTCTTTGTTTTCTTTTGAGTCCTTTCAA